CACATTCAACTGCTTTATTATATTTTTCCCCTCTGATAGTCCCTGAGCTTACTCAGAGTCCCAGAGACTGAAGTTTGCGGTTCTGCTGACTTTCACTTCAGCTCGCGCACTCTGGAAAGGGTATCTTGCATCTTTTGCCAGTGGCTCCAATCCCCTACATAGAAAGAGTGTTTTCCAAGCTTTGGGATACTTTCACATAGATGACCCCACACAGGCACTGTCATTGTACAGTTGGGGAAATCGAGGCTCACCATGGTAGGGTACTTTTTAAATACATAGCTCGTCAGGGGCTGAACTGGAACTCAAACCTGGGATTGCGGGCTCCAAGTGCAGTGCACTTTACTTTTCACTGCTTCCTCTTCTCCTGCAGTGATTTTGTCTCTGTCCTCCCTTGGCCACCAACATGGTCCCACTTAGAGACCCTGTTCCAAACAACCTAGTCACAGTCTTCGTTTTAAGCATCTCCACTATTATCCACCACCCACCTTCTCTTAGTCCTGACTCCAGCAGTTCCTTTTCTCCCCAGTGTGACTGGGGACTCAATGGCCAATAGAAAAGATATGCATTTAAGGAATAAAGCATGGTGTTTTGACCCCACCAGGACCTGCCCATCCATCGATCCTACTCAGCCTCACTTGGCCCATATTCTTACCTTCCTCATCCCTGCATATTCCAGGGCCACTATGGTCTCCAGGCCCCCATATACATTTTAGCTCCTCCCCTTCCTGGTAAGAGTGAATTCACCATCAATGTGCCAGCTACTCTCTGGACAGCTGAATGTGGCCAGAGGCACCAAGCACACACTGACTCCCTATGGAGTCCCAAGGGCTTCTTAGGAGAAGTAGTGTCTCTCCTCTCTGCCAGATCCTCAGCATGCTGAGAACCAGAGCAAAGCAGCAGGCAGGCTGTGAAGGTTTGACCGCATTCCCCAGAGCACGTGTGCTGGAAACTTCATTCACACGGCAACAGCTTGGAGAAGTGGGAGCGAAGAGGTGAGAAGCCTTGAGGACTCTACCCTCTGCCCTCCTGGGTGAGCTCCTCTTGTTCTGGGGGGAGTGTGTTATTCCACTCAAGAGTGGGAAGGGGAAAGGGAAAGAAACAGCTCAAAAGGAAAGAACACCTGGGGTGAGGGAAAGGAGGAAACAAAGAAAGAAGGAAAGGAAATATATATATACCAGATAACTAAGATAAATGAACTACTAATTTCTATTGGTTTATTGAAAGGAACAGTTAATGCTTCATTTTTTTGACCCATTTTGCATACTTATATCTGGTAATCTGAACAACTACTGTGAAGACAACAATATGCAATATAACAACCATTGCTGAATTTCTATCATCTTGTTTTTTTGAAATCCTGTATCATTTCTAATGTTTTTTAATTTTTTTTATTCTCTTTAAAATTAAAAACAGTGGGGTAATTATAAAAGTGAGCTCAATCAGGCGTTGTGACACACACACCTTTAATTTCTGCTACTCAGGAGGCTGAGGCAGGCAGATCACAAGTTTCAAGCCAGCCTGGACAATTTAACAAGACCCTGTCTCAAAATAAAATAAAATAAAAATGCTGAGGATGTAGCCCAGGGCTCCTTAAGTTCAATCCCCAACACTGCCCCCTCCCAAAAGTAAGTTCGGCCCTGTCTTGCAGGCTGGCTGTGTGCTGCCTTCCCTCCAGCCTCTGCGAAAGGATGAGGTACCAAGGGGGCCCTCACCAGAAGCCAGCACCTCGACAGCGGCCTTCCCCATCCCCAGAACTGTAATAAGTCCATCCTCTGTAAATTGTTCAGTGCTATGTGTTCTGTTATAGCAACTAAAAACAGACTAAGACAGAGACCCCAAGTCATCTATATTACTGATAATCAATGTTTTTCTTTCTTTTTTCTTTTATTTATTTTTTGTGGCACCGGAAATGGAACTCAGGACCTTTCACTTGCCAGGCAGGTACTTGTGCCACTGAGCTATACCCCCAGCTATATTACCAGTAGCTACCAGAAGCAAGACAAGGTCGGTCTGTTGGTTCCCACCAGGGGCACTGGCTTCAGGGTCCACCCTGAGCCGTTTCCATAACGCACCACCTCCCCGTGCCCATCACTAGCACGTGGCCCAGGCTGCCCTCGCCTCTCCACTGGGCACTGCAGCAGCATCTCTGCTATCTCCATTCACCCCCACTGGACCCCACTCTTCTCCTCTCACCGGCCAGCCTGAGCCTTTCAGATCCCTGGCTTCACATGAACACTGAGTTTTTAAACACTGATGCTCAGACCTCACCAGCCAACTCAGAGTGATGAGTAGACGCAGAGGTTTTTATAAGGCTCCTCGGAGCTCTGCTGTGCAGGCAAACTTGAGACCAGGGTGGTCAGATGTGTCGCACTACTGCTCAGATCCTTTGGTGACCTTCTGTCACCCTCAGAAGAGGAGGCCAGAGAAGGAGCAAAATTCTTTCAAAGGTCCACAGACAGCCAGCACAGCAGTATGTGCCTGCACTCCCAGCTACCCAGAAGGCCGAGGCAGGAGAATCAATAGAGTCTAGGAGTTTGAGGCCAGGATGGGCAGCACGGGGAGACGTTGTTTTACACAATAAAAGTCAAAAACCCTGCAGATGCCCCTGGTCCAGTCCATCTGTAAATCTCGTCTCAGCTCCACTGCACGGGCCTCTGCTGTCACCCTCAGTCGCCCTCAGTGGGCTTGTCCTGGGGTCTGCATGCTCACTGCCCCTCCTGCCTAGAAAGCCTTTCCCCCAGAGGCCGCCTGGGTGGCCCCACACTCCCACCTGCATCTGCTCACAAACCCCTCTGTTAGAGGCCTCTCCCAACCACTCTACCTAAAGGAGCGTGTGTGTTTCAACCTGCCGTTCACTGGGGAAATGACCCCGCCATGTGTTCGCCACTATGGTGTCACACAGACTATTTTACTCACAATCCATTTATTCCTAAATATAAGTAATATACTGGGCAAATTTAGGAAAAATCTTACAATTAAAATGAAGTAAATAATTTTTCATAATTTTCCTGTTTAAATGTAATGGCTCATTGCATTACGGGTTCTTTCAGTTTTTTTATGCGGGGCTTTTCGTTACGTTAACACCACTAGCTTCTCTTTCATTGGCCACATCTCTGACTGTTTCCATAGGGCGCTACTCCGAAGTTTGTACACAAATAGATGACTTGGGGGTGGGGGCTGGAGACTGAGCCCAGGGCCTCACCCATGCTGGGCAAGCGCCCCACCCCTGAGCTGCACACCCAGCCTGTTTCCCTTTTCCTGTGGAGACGATGTCTTGCTAAGCCACCCAGGCTGGCCTGCAGCTTGCCTTCCTCCCGCCCCAGCCACGGAGTAGCCGTGGGTGATTGTTCAGGTGTTCTGGGGCAGACTGCCACACTGCTTTCCACACAGGTGGTGTGTTTCTGCTCTCTCCAGCAGGGCGTGGGCCAGCTCAGCCCACACAGCGCCCCTCACCTGGCCTCCGCAGTGCTGACCCACATCCCCTGGACACTTCAGGCACGATAACTGCTGAAAGCATGACATCAACTGCCACTGCTCTCCGACCACCTTAGACCTCCTGCAGAGGCCATGAAAAAGCAAGGCAAAAAATGTGACCGATTGAGATGCCCTCTAACCTGAAAATGTGCCACCCTCGTTGGCATTTTACAGCCACTGTTACCCTCCTCCGAGTCGCTCGTCAGATCCACATAGACCTTGCCCAAGGGCCCGTGTCTTTCTCCCAAAGCCAAGTTAAACCATCTGCCTGTTCTTTGTAACTTCCCGGTGCTACCCGTTGGGAACCCTCAGTGCTGTTCCCGCCTCTTTAATTTCCTCCCGCAGCCCTGATTCCCAGCGCTGCTGTCTGTCTCAAAGTGAGGATGTGGCAGCCCTCACTGACTGAACGGAGGTTTCGTTCACTGTGCTGCCAGACACCAGCGTGAGCCCCTTCAACCCTCGCAGCTCCCTTTGGAGAGGAGTGGACACTATGACCGTACTCACTTTACGGACTAAGGAGTTTAGGGAAAGCCGTGTGATGCGGGTCACTCAGCTCGAGTCTGAAGCACACCTAGGGCTCTGCCTCTGGCCCCAGAGTTCTGAAACCCTCTGGTTCTTCCATGGGTCCATGCCTGGCTGTCCGTGCTTCCTCTCTCCCTGCCTTACCCACTCCTTTGGTTAAAAAGAGAAAACACACCCTGCACATTTTCAGGAAGACTTTGCAGGTCGCTGAGTGCTGTCACCCTTATGCAGACGACTGCTCTGAGCGACTTCATGATGGGCCTCACTTCGTTGTAACTCATAAGCAGTTCAGCCCCAAACATGCCTAACACTGCTACTTTCCAACACACTGCTCCACCGAAGGACTCTGCAAGCCCAGAGCTGGCCATAGGCTGCATTGCTGGAGGCTGAAAAGGGAGGTTACTGCACACTGCAAAAGGCCTAAAACTGGCTATCACGTGTCATGGTGAGAAGACAGTGCTGTGCATCCCACAGCCAAGACTCTGGACTTCCTGGTCCCACCATTACACAGCAAGTCTCAGTGGTGGAAGGGACCTTTACTGACCATTTACAGCTGGCTCCTGTTCTGATTGGTTAGACTTCACATCTGTGTCTCCTCTGATTGGTTGGGGTTTTTCGGACGTTTATTTTGTACCCTAGACATCAAGCTAGCCCCTAAAAGTTCTGAATATCACCCCTTCACTGGGTGTATAAATTTTAGCACATGAGTGAGGTATTTTTGTGCTTCAGTGTCATCTTTTGCCGGAGGATACAAAAGCCTGCGGGGTTAGAGCGGGGCGGGAAGGGAGGCAGTTTAGAAAAGGAGAGAGAGCGCCATGCTTTGCTGCCGAAGGAGACCATCAGCCACATAACCCCAGGCCCATGTGGTTGGGAGTGATCCCTGGAAGGCAATTTTCTAAAAGAACCCTAAATACACATGACTATATGCTGACAATTACAGTTTCACCAAGGCAAAATCCATTTGTGATCATTGCAATAAAGCTCCTAACAGACATTCTTTACAGGAAAGCAGCGGATGGTCACCTGTCTGGGTGAGTGAGTCTCCAAAGGAGCACATCAGAGGAGCCCCTGGAAATATGGTAAGGGATCTCCTGGGAAACATCAGAACTATTAGAAACCACTGCTTTCAGACTAAGCTTACCTCAAAGAAAGAACTCACAGTAGGTTTAACTACGCAAATGTCTAAATTATTTTGCCTAGGAATTTATAAAGACTATTGACAAAAACTTCATATGTTATGAGATACAGCCAAGGGTGTGCCTCCTTGATACCCAGCTCATATAGGTAGTAATATTTGGAGGAGAAAAATAGCAACATAGAGACAGTATTATCTTCAAACCTTAATTTTTAAACACGGTCAAAGAACACGAATAGACAACACATAAAGGAGTACATGTAAGTGACTGTACTTTTGGGAAAAAAAGTATTCCGTATCATTAATAATGAAATAAATTTAAATTTAGCATTTTTTCTGCCTGTTGAATTCTGTACCCAACAAGAAGTAGCTATGGAGCAGGTGCTGCACGGAAGACTGCTCAGGTCAGGCTGCGGCAGCAGAAGGCCCACAGTCCCCACACCTCACTCTAGCCTGGGGAGGCAGGCAATTTAGAAATATGTCTGATAGGTAGTATTTCAGTGGCTGATAAGAGGCAACAAGAAGGTGAAGCAGGGAGAGGACGGCAGTAGAGCGGTGTGTGCTGTTTGCCATGGGATGGCCCAGGATGAGGGAGCAAGGGGCACAGGAGGAAAGGCATGTGCCTGGGGCCAGGGCTTCTCAGCAGGGCCACCAGGAAGTGCAAAGGCCCTGAGGGCAAAAAGTGGCTACTGCTTTCAATAAAAGGGAATGGTGTTGAGTGGCTCCAGTAGAAAGAGGTGGGCCCAGGGAGCAGGAAATATGGGTAGGGAGGGAGAAAGGAGCAGGCTAATATTGTTTAGACAAGATATCATGCCTATATCTTGTACTCTGATTATCTAATAGGAAGGCAACAATATGCAGTGTATCAACTATTGTAACTATCCTGCTAACCTGTTTGGAAACTCCGAATGTTTCAACTGTTGGAACAACTGGCGTATCCACTATTGTAACCCGCCTACTAACCTGTTCCATTGCTTATCTTTTTTCTCTTTAAAATAAAAAAAAGAAAGGAGCAGGCAAGGAGGGTGGGAGAAGGGGGCAAGGTGGCCTAGGCCTCTGTAGGACAGTGTAAGAATTTAAGCTTTAATAAAGTGGGAGAGGGGAGGATGTGTGTAATCTGATGCATGTAGCTGGGACCACCGTAAGGAAATCCCACGCCCTGGTAGCTTAAACTACAGAAATCTCTTCCTCACAATCCTGAAATGCAAGATGAAGGTGTTGGGGGATGCCAGTGTCTTCAAAAATCTCTCTGTGGCGTGCAGGCTTTCTTACTATGTCCTGCGGTCTTGCCCTCTCAGCACCAAAGCCCTGGTGTCTCTTCCTCTATTCTTTTTCCTGGTGCTCAGGACCAAACCTAGGACCTCACACAGCAGGCAAATGCTCCACCACTGAGCTACAGCCCCACCCCCAGCCCTCTTCCTCTTTTTAAAAAACTTTTTGGTCTTTTGGGACAGGGTCTTGCTATGTGGTCCAAGCTGGCCTTGAACTCATTATATAGTCCAGGCTGGCCGCAAACTCACAACAATCCTCCCGCCTCAGCTGGGTGCTGGGATGACAGGTGTGTGCCACCACACCAGGCTTTCTTCCTCTTTTTATAGGGACACAAGTCACACTACACTAAGGCCCCACTGTCATGACCTCATTTAACCTTTATGACCTCTTTAAAGGCTCTGACTCCAAATACAGTCACATTCTGAGGAACTGAGAATCAGGTCTTCAGCGTATGAATGGAGGGCACAATTCAACCCACAACATCCAATTTCTGTTCCAGTGGCTTCCAGTGTGTTGCTTTTGCCGCCGGGCAGGAATGGATTCTAGGTCTCTCAAAAGGGCGGAAACCAAGAGATCAGTTGGCCCCGTGGAGACACCCGGTAGTAAGGAAGCAAAGGAGGCCTCCGGCCCACAGCCAGCAAGGAACCCAGGTCCTCGGTTCAACACAAGTGAGTGTGGAATGGATCCTCCAGGTGCCCATGCGAGACCATGGCCCACGAGACTGCACCCTCATGAGAGCTTAACCAGAGGGACCTCAGCAAGCCAGCCCCACACCCTGACCTACAGGCCCTGTGTGAGAATAAATAGGCAATGACCTGAGCTAAGCTTGACGGTAACTAGCTTTTCAGCAGTGCACAGCTGATACACCCCAGCAGCTAAAATCCTGCTCCAGAAACACTGGCTGAGTGAATAGCAGATTCTAGATATGTGCAGAGCTGAAAAGAAAATATGTAAAATCATTGATAGTGGTTATCACTAGACAGATTTCTAGGCTCATCACTGATTATTTTTAACTGTAGGTCATTCTTATACATTGCCCCACTTTCTTTTATTGTGAAATATAACACAGAGGTATAAAATTGCTTGATGAAATATTACAAAATCACTAATTATGTAATAACCATTATCCAAGTGTCATGGGTCATAGTTTTTGTTTTGTTTTGTTTTGTTTTTGTTTTATTGTTTTGTTTTGTTTAAGACAGGGTTTTTCTATGTAGTCCATGCTGATCTTGAATTCATTATGTCTAGGTATGTGCCACCTTGTACAACTTGCCATTATACTTTCTGTCTGTATGAAATCTGACTGCCTCCAGTTAGTGGAATGAAATAGTATTTGTCCTTTTTTTTCTGATCCTAGGGCTAGAACCCAGGCCTCCTCCATGCTAAGCAAGCAGACTGCTACTAAGTTACATCCTCAGCCTTTTTTATTTTTTACTTTGACAGAAGGTCTCACTAAATTGCCTAGGCTGGCCTAGAACTTGCAATCCTCCTGCCTCAAGCTCCTGAGCAGTAGGGAGTACAGGCATGTGCTACCATGCCCAACTCAGTATGGTTTTTTTTTTATAAACCAAGTTTCTCTGCATCCACATGATTGAACTCAGAGCTTCATCACTTCTTAATTAAAAAATAGATCAGTATTTTAAAAATAACATTGCGCTCACAGGACAAGTTCAATCTGGTCTAAACTCTTTGCTCCACAGCAATAGAGTGTTCAAACATGATTTAAGCAGCTCACTGACTGTCTCAACATGACAAGACTGAGCAATTTCTTGCAAAGACCTATTTTTCCAACCTAACCCTCTTTTCCTAAGCTTCTTCAAACCAGTTTGAGCAGCAGTGGAGCAGAAGCGACAGAACTTGAGGAAAGCCCAGGAGACCAAGGTCTCGCCCTCTAACCCTTGCCCTGGGAGTGTTGCCAGTGGCAGAAGAGCTGCAGAAGGACGGCTGATCACTAACCTATCACACCTGCTGTGGGCCGTGGCCTGGGAACTTCTGCACCTTTGGACGGGATTCCATCTGATCCTCGTGGCAGCCCCTGGGGGTCGAAGGGAGGACTGCTGTACTATCCTCTGTGTGCAGGTGAGGAAATTGAGGCACAGGCCAGGGGACAGACAGTAGATAGCTGAGCCGGCTGCATGCCCCGGCAGTCTGGCTCATTCCTTGCTCTTCCCCACAGCTTCTCAAGCCAGAAGACACACATCAAGGAAGGTCGGTTAATGCTCTCATTGCCGGGTCCACCCCACTTTTCTTTCTTTCTTTTCTTTTTTCCTGTGCTGGAGCTTGAACCCAAGGCACTGCACACTACAACCCAGCCTGTTTAATTTTTAAAGAGGGTCCCACTAAATCGATAAGGAGCCTAGGCTGGGCTCAAATTTGTGACCCTCCTACCTCTGCTTCCCAGAGTGCTAGGATTACAGATGTGGGCTCACACGTTTCTAGTATATCGGGTCTCAGGCGGGAATGTGCACATCTAATCAGCTCAAGTTTGTGCCTGTGTTTCTCACCCAGGGACCACACATTGAAAATGGAGTAAAAAGTTTAAGATGCAGTACATATATTTACCAATACCCCGGATGAATACCTTCATTATGCAATGCAAACATATACTAGTAAAAATTATTTAAAAAGAAGAAAATAACTGCTCCTAACAAACTTACATGTACTACCATGGCTCAAGTACCTATAATAAATTGAGCACAGAAATGCCATAGGAAAGGAGGTTCTGATTTTACATCTGAGGGTGTGAGAATCGACGAGAATAAGGATCTAAACTGGGCATGGGGGTGCACACCTGTAATCCCAGCACTCAGGAGCCTGAGGCAGGAGGATCCTTGGGAGTTCGAGGCCAGTCTGGGCTACAAAGTGAGCTCAAGGCCAGCCTGAACTGCATAGAGAGACCCTGTCTCAAAAAGACAAAAAAAAAAAAAAGAGAGAGAGAGAGAGAGAAAATAAGGATCTGGTCACATTTCCAGAGGAGGAAGTAGGCAGCCTGTGGTTAAAGCCACCTTTCTGAATGCTAAAGCCTCTGTCTTTTGCATCTGCTGCCTCACTGACACAACTAGACCAGGTATTCTTGGCAGGGTACACACTGGGCACCTTTTCAAAGCAATGTTCAGGAAATAGTTGCTGTTTATTTTGGTGGAGGCAAGAGAAACGGACTTTGTGTTAATAAAACTAAAGATATCACACCGATTTTTATTTCTAAAAATAGAATTAATTCTTAGCATTGTACACAGCCTAACATTTTAACCTCCTCAGCCGTATCTTCCACCGTAGGTTATTTCTCTCACTCGTAATGAGGCACTGTCTGCTCACCCACAGTCACTAAGTGTGACTCGATGGGGGCAGCAGCAATGAATTATTTACCCTTCCTTACGTTTGCTTTGTTCATTTCCAACGTTCATGGTTTCTTAATTTCTAAAATTTCTTTCCCGCCTTCTGGGTTATCATTCCAGATGAATTCTGAGGAAAATTTAAGTTTCAGATTTTCAGCTGGCTGTAGGAGCCAACACTATGGCACCACAGGCTGATCAGTCTTAGACTTGATGGTGGTGCTGTAACTGAGCTACCTGCAACATTCGTAGACCTTGAGAAGACGGCTCCCCACTCAAGGTTGGTGCTGACTTAGGCACAACAGAAAGAAATTTATGTTTGCCCCGTTACATAAAGAACAGCGGGTGCAAGTTATTGGTCTCTTATTTCTATTCTTTTCCAATGTTGTTACAATTTATACTATTGGATACCCAACCAAAATCTTCCCCGCCTACAAAGACCTGCTATTATCCAGATATTGGGGAACAACAATCGATAAAGGAAAATACCCCTCCCACTCCAAGGAATTAATCTGATCGTGCTAAAATGAGTCATGGAAGTCTACACTTTGTCAGTGATTGTTCGTGTGTCCAAATCCTAGCCAATGAGATGCAGAAGGAATTCTACTGGGGCCTCTGGAAAAATTTTCATCTCTTATAAAAATAGGGAGGACATTTACGACACTTAATTCTTTCTCACTGCAAGTCTCTTTTTTTGTAGCAATTGTTCTACTTGTAGAACATTTTTCAGAACAATGAAAAAAAGTTAATTGCCTAATTCTCTCAGAAAGGGTTGAACCAAATTTTAGCAAAAACTAGAAATTCGGAGGTTCTGTAGCTTTGAGCCTAGGACATTGCCCAAGATGGGGCAGGGATTGGATGGCTGAGTCCCTCCCAAGGACAAAGAGCACCTGGATGTCAGCCATGTCTCTGCTCGCTGGACCTTGGCCCGGTAATCTGATGTGAGAATCTCAATTGCTATATGTTCTACAGCTATATTACCTATGAAGTCTCAGCTAGGCTTACGACTTAAATTACCTCCCTCAAAAGCAGCCATTTAGAATTCAATGTAGTTGGCACTGAATAAGAGAAATCCTTTTCTGTAGGTAGAGTTTTTTGGATTACAGGGACACCTGTGGGCTAGATCTGACTCCCTGCACCTGTTCAGTGACTACTATAGTCATGTATTACTTACTGAGTTAATTAAGAAAACAAGGATGGTAGCATCCACTCTGGCCAGGAATTCACTTCATCCTGGCCTCAGACTCTCCGGGGAGGACACAGAAAGCCCTGCTTCAAATCTTCATGATCTTCAAACAAGGCAATTTACTCGCTTTGGGTATCTGTGGCAACGTCCCGATGGTGGGCCCTGCAAGTGGAGTTGCAATTCTGTAAGTGACTAAACAAGACAGAGGCTCCAACCACACTCTTCTGGCCAAAGCGAAGGAAACCCTTCCTTGGGTTAAAGCCAGAAAGGGGAACTTCCAGCCAGAGTTTGTCAGAACGCTGTTCCCCCAAGCCCAAAGAAGAATCAGGCTTTCATTGTCCCCACGAAAATACTGGGTCATTTTACAGTTTGGGCTCTGAATCATAGTATTGTCTCTTCTCCTTGCCTGTAGTGTTTCTCAACCTTTTTTGTTTTTAATTTGAGCTCCCTTCAAACCTTTCTCCCCTTGAGTCGTATGTATTTGTACCAGCCAAGACTTAGTCACCTTTGTCTTCTGAGTTTGGTTAATGAAAACAATCGTTTTCAGAATATTCTTTCTCAGAAGAAAAGGCACTTCTCCATTCTGCTGCGTCTCCTAGAAGTACTGATACTTCCTTGACTTGAGAATGTGATTCTAGTTCTGAATAACCCTAAGCTTGTACTTTCAACTTGTGGTGAGTCATTTATTTCTCAATCAGTTAAGGCACAAACCATGCAAAGTAGAAATTTTATTATATTTGTATTTCCGTGACCTGGATAAGGAAACATGTAAAAGGGAAAAAATCTTCTATTATATATTATACCTCTCATAATATCCACCCCCATCTTTACCTCCTTATTATTACTTCACTTCTACCAGCTGTCGGATATTGGCTACAAAGCAGTCTACATTTGCTTTTATTACACTACCCTTTAGATCATTAAAACATGGTGGCTTGATAAAGTTTCCATGCATGTTCCTCTATCTGTGAAGATTCTATAACTTCAATTTAAAAAGTATTTCCTCAGTTATCTACTCCATACCTTCTATGGGCTTACATTGTTCTTCAAAAAACATATGTTGAAGACCCCTGGTATTTGTAAATATCCTACTTAGAAATAGGGTCCTTGCAGATGAAATATTCAAGTTAAAATAAGGCACTGCTGCACTAGGGTGGGTCCTCACCCAGTGGCTGGTGTCCTTTTGATAAGAAAGAAATTTGGGCACAGAGACACATCCTGGGAAAAGGCCATGGGGAAACTGAGGCAGAGAATAGAGTGCTAGAGGTTTTTTACACTTGAATTTTTAATCCATCTTAAGTTAATTTTTGTTCCTTGTATAAACCAAAGGCCTGAAACTATTTCCACTGTCATATATTCACTTCTCACATAGACTGGATTTCTGGATTCTCTATCGATCTCCACTGATTTTTTTCCTGTCTATTCTTAGCCCAATTGCAATTTGATTTGCTTATCATGACCTCAAGCTGAATTTTGCTTACAATTTCCTTTCAAGCAAGAACCCTACACAACCTTCTTGTGCATGTTTTTCTTGGCTGCTGATGTTTGGTGTTCATTTCTCCATATTAACTTGAAGATGCAAGGTCTTGGGTGAAGGAACATGTCTAACCCAGCCTGAGTCACATGTCCAGGGTGAAAAGCTAGCTCTGTTTTTTTTCTTTTTTAACCCTCAAAATCAATAATCTTTCTTTCTTTCTTTTTTCTCTCTCCCTTTCTTTTATTTTTTTATTTTTTTGGTTTTTTGAGGCAAAGTCTCACTATACAGTTCAGGCTGGCTTTGAATTCACTTTGTAGCCCAGGCCAGCCTCAGACACAAAGTGATCCTCCTACCTCAGCCTCCCATATGCTGGGATTACAGAACAAGGATCTTATTTCTATATCCCTTTCCATGACAAAGACCCTGCCTGCCCTCAGGGGTCTAAGACCCTCGTGACAGAAGAGCTCTGATTACTTCACCTGAAACAAGCAGGAGGGCTGCTGCTATTTGCTATGCCAGGAAGATAATGTATGTTCCCAGGGTGAGCACAATGACACCTTCCTAGAGTAGCAACACACACACACACACACACTTTTAATCTCTATTATATCATATTAAAGAAGTTGGATTTTATCCTGTGGGCATTTTACTTGCCACTTAAAAGTTCTTAGTGGAAGAATCACAAGATCATTTTGGTAACAAGTTCACAGGATAAAGGGGAAAGACGTGGAAATGGGAGGTCCAGGTAGGTACTACTGCAACGGTCCAGGCAAAGATGATGAAGACCTAAAATAAAGCAGTTGTCAGGGGCCTAGAGCAAAGTGGACAGATCTGAAAACAACTGAGAAGTAGCACTCACAGGATCAGTGATAGGTTTGGTGCTGGGTTAGCTTAAAATCGAGCGTGACTACTTGTCTGATTTCTAGCCTCGTTAAGGGAGTGGGCAGTGGGAGTGAAACGGTATAGGAACACGGGAAGAGGAGGAGGCTGGGTGACAGCGCAGAGAATGTGCTTAGTTTGGGGCGTGTTCAGTTTGAAGGCCTGTGAGTCAGGTAGTCCCTAGCCGACATGAAGACTTTATGGAGTCTGAAGCTAAAGGGAGCTCAAGGCCAGACTCAGCAGGACAGCGATGGCGGCCAGCATGGGAGGGGCAGAGAGCTAAGGATGGGACAGCGGGGGTCAAGGATCCTCACCAGAAGAGGAGGACTTGGAGCCAGCCAGGGGCCCTGAGAATGAGCCCCGGAAGCAGCAGAAGCATTTTGAGAAAAAGGATGCAGTCGGCCTCATTGGAAGGAGCGGAGGTGCTTCAGCGGCATCATGGATGTGGCCGTCGCCAAGTTCCCCCCGACCTTGACAAGAGGAAAGAAATCAGGTTTGTTTGTTTGTTTCTTGGTTTCATTGTTTAGCAAAGAAACCCAGGGCCTGGTTCATGCTAGGCAAGTACTCTACCACTGAGCTATATCTTTTGGCCCTTTAAAAAATTTTATTTTCAGACAGAGGCTCCCTAAATTGCCCAGGCTGGCCTCAAACTGATGAGCCTCCTGCCTCAGCCTTCCACAGTGCTGACCCGAAAGTCAGGTTTTAGATGTAGCATGAAGACAAGGGTAACAGATCCTGTCAGATGTGTCCCTTTGTCCCTCTGACTCGACGTTTCCTCTTCACCCATCTGCTCTCTGTCCCAGGGGCACGGTGGCAACATCGGCACATTCCCAGACAGCCGCATTTGGCCATGACAAGCCCTGGACGGGGGAGGGAGAGTGAGGCCGGGTGAACAGTCCCCCAGCTGCGTGCCCTGCACCAGAGCCACCAGCTCCCTGCCCTGGGTTCAGGTGACCCATGCTGCCTTCCTCCCCTTAGACTCTGAGTGCAAATCGCGCTGCTAGGCCTGATTGTGTTTCTGTACAGCCACGGACACCCCTGCAGACGGACCTCGGTTAAGCCTTCCTCAGTTATCCTAATCCAACACATCGCCTGTTGCTGCGAGAACCCCAACTGGTGTGGGAAGGAACCCTGGCTGAGAAGAGAGATGGAAACCCACAAAGGCACGGGTGAGTGTGTCACAGGGCTTCATTCTGTAAGGGCTGGAGAGGCTTAGCTACAATGACTGACTCATGAAGTTTTAACAGCCAGGCCCTGTTTCAGAGGTGTAACCTGAGAGGAGACGGGAAAGAGGCACACTCCCTGCTGGCCTTTCAAGCTGGTGACATTACAGGCGACCTCACCGCGAGGGCTTCAGAGATGCCAGAACCTGTGTTTCCAGTTTGCCCAAGGCAGTCCATTTGCCAGGTTTGCCCACGGCTGTGTTGGCAAGGGTTGCTCCGAGCCCTCAACGGATGGAAAAGTAGACGGAGAAGAAAGAACAAAGGTCAGGACCTCAGAAACCCAGGTATCTGCCATGCACCAAAGCTGTCAGACCCTAAGCAGCATGGTTGGTGTTTTTCTAAACCCGGTGAAGCATGACCCACCCCTGCTCACCCTGCCAGCCTTGTCTCTCTCGTGGGCCACTGCTCTCATTGCACCGCTCTTTTTTGAAGGAGCCCCGCTCTGCCCTTGAGCCTGAGCTCTGACTCCAATCTGGCACTTTCTTCAATCCCTTCCCCCTCCCCACCAGCAGTGGGGATTGGACCCAGCGCCTTTGCACTGAGCTACATCCCAGACAGGGTTAAATTGCCCAGGTGGGGTAGAATCTGCCATCCTCCTCGCTCAGCCTCCCAGGGTGCTGGGATCACAGGCATGCGTGCGGTACCACACCCACCAGCTCCTCCACTCTGACGCTGGCTAATTCATTCTCTCCAGATCGCTCTCAAACAGCACTTCCTCAGCAGTCCTCACCCAGCCAATCAAGGCCTGCCTATTCCACGTCACCCATATTTTGTGATCTGTCATCTTTTCTATTTTTTTTTGTATCCACATCATATTAGGTTAAGCCTTCACTATCCCTTCCCCAAAATGATAAGAAACACGCGGACAGACCAACAGAGCTTCTTTCTTCTCTCTTCTCTACAATCTCTTCACTGCCACCCGTCCTATTTGTGAAACACAAGCCTGACACTGTCACTCCCTTGTTTAAAATCCCCCTGTGGTTCCCCAGGATTTCTGAGCGGACTGGAGCCGCTCCCCTCCCTGCCGAGGCCACGCCCCCATGGCCTCAGGCCCGCCCACTGGGCCCACCTCTTAAAGGTATCCGCACAGACCCATACTACCACCCTGGCGGTGGTGGGCTTGGAGAGCGAGCGAGGACCGGATCTCTACCTAAACCACTGCGCACCCAGCGCTCCCTGGGCACTGGCTTTGTGTTCTCTTGCGACGATAACAAGCACATAACCACACATTCAGAGCCTCACAAAATCCCTATCATCTGGAGTTGTAGCGGGTCAAAGGCCTGAGCTGAGCCTGCCCTGTAAGATCAGAGTCCCACAGGGCTGCTTTCCTCCTGCCAGGGACGGTTGGTTTCTTTGCTTCCTGGCTTCCAGAGGCAGCTTGTGTTGGCTCAGGCCTCGCTCGCTCCATTTGCAAAGCCAAAGACACTGGCTGAGAAGTCACGATGCCATCTCTTGGGTTCCCTCCCTCTTGCCTCCCTCACTTACTTGAAAGCATCCTGGCGAGTCCCCTGTCCCACCTGGGTGATCTAAAATAATCTCCCCTTCTCGAGGTCATCTGAGTAGCAGTCGTGATTGCCAATTTCTCGCAATCAGGTAACCACTTGAGTACCAGAGCGTGGCCGTCCTCAAGCTCGTTGCAAGAAGTCGACATGTGTAGGCGGAACGTTTAGGATTCGGAACAACAATCCCTTTGTCTCTCCGATTCTTACTCTAACCCGTGGTGGCCAAAAGCAGCAATTTTGAGAAGTTAGCATTGGCAGGCTTGGTGCAGCCCGGAGCACAGCACACAGGATGAATTCCAGCTCCACCTACTGCACAGGTGGACCGGGAGGAGGTGGGTCGCTTGCGCACACTCTCTGAACCAGGATTGTTCCACTACAAAAAAACAGCGACCTGGGCCTGCCTCGATTGCAGAACTGTAAAGACCAGCGCTGATCAGGCCGCGGCACATGACGCGCTCTGATACTCCTGGCACGTGTAAGTCATAGAGCCTCATTATTTTTAGGGGAAACTTACTAAACGTCGGTGAGTAGGTGAATGAACGACTGAATGAGCTCAGCTTGCAGATTCCCTCATTTTAATCAAAGGTTAACTGCAGGAGCAACCTTGTCTATCTCACTTTAATTAAAGACAGTGCAGGAATGACCTCATCTTTAGTTTATGCACCACCACCAACATATATGATGTCATCAATACAAAAATGTTCTCTTCCCTTTTAAATTGTAAATCCTTAGACTTTATGTAGAACAAAACCCTTTTGCCACTATTTGAGATTAGGCTTGAAATCTGCCACTCTAGAAAAAGTTTCCTTTTTTAAAAAGCGTATTTTAATAGGGACTAAGGGGAAAAGAGGCCTGTTTTGTTTTGCACCTTTTTTTATTCTAAATTTTGAGAAGTTATGTGCTATGCTTTGTTATCCCCAATGCTGAAAAGACAAATAATTGCATAAACTGGAGACAAGTTGCCCACCATTCTAGTAAGTATTAAAAGGAGTCCTTCCTTATTTCCCTTTTCATCCCACCCTTAAAATTGTAGCTCTCTTGCTTACTTTGACCTGAGAGGTAACTACAATATTGAAGTTAAAAGTAAAAATCACAGAGAGCATAACGCCTTAGAAGAACATTGCAGTAAATCACAGGGAATTTTATTTATTTATTTGGTACCGGGAATTGAACTCAGGACCTTGTGCTTGCCAGGCAGAACTTGTGCTACTGAGCTATATCCCCGGATCAGGGACTTTTATTGATTTCTCCCCCATATCAAATGCCTCCTAATCTGCTCTGGCAATGATCAAAACAGTCATCACAAACACCATGATGAAAAAAATCCACATGAAGAATCGGTCTATGACTTTCGCAACCTTCTTCCATTCACTGCCCTTGGAGTTGGTGGCCCTGTGGTCCTTGAGGCACTTGGCGATGTACTCGATGTTTCTCGTCAGCGTTTCGTACCGCGCACAGTAACCCTCGGCATTCCGTGGCGTCTCGCCCTGGCAACCCAGGTCGTTCTTTAAGAGTTTGTTCATTTCCTTCTTCCGGGAAAGGTCTTTGTTCCTGGCTGTCTTCAGGTTTGACTCTGGGAGTTTGCCATAAACCTGGGTGAGGTGGCCCCGCTCCCTCCCATGGCGTGGGCTGAGGCAGCTCTCGCCCACATCGTAGACAAACAAGATCCTGGCCATGTATTTCAGGATGACCACTCGGGCCCAGCGTGGCACTGGCCGGGCCTCAGCCCCGCAGAAGTGGATGTTCATCACCATGATGGTCAGGGCGGTGGAGGCCGTGATCAAGGCCATGGTGGCTATGTAGTATTTGCCTGCAATCAAAAAAGCAACCGCTCAGTTTGCTTTAACACTGTCCTCACGTTTGTGTAAAAAGGAAGAAATGAATACCTTTCCTAAGGAAGTGATCAGCCCTAATGATCACGTATAGGCTTCTAATGGATGTCCTGGGTTCAAATTCCATTCGTGTTACCCATGAGACTTGTAACCTACAGCAAGATGTATGATCCTACCACACTTCAACTCCTGGCTCTGTAGTATGCGTGTAACTCACAAAGACACAGCAAGCTTAGCAGAGATGAGATGTGGCAAGTTCTCTGCACGGTCCCTGGCTCCAAAGGCTTGCAAATGTGAGCTGAGATCATGATGAGGGTAGAAGTTTTTCACAACACTTGGGGAAACTGACCAGCTCTGAGCATTGTCTTCAGAGCTCACCAAGTGGAAGACAATCACTGCTGAGGAGGAAAAGGACACTGTTACTGTGTCTATAAAATATAATTGTATAAAGCAAATGTTTGTGAAAAAGGAAAGCAAAAGAAATAATATGGGCCCCTGTGTTTATAAAATATAAAACAAAAAAACTAAGAAGGTGAGCAAAACCAAAGGCAATTTTTTGAAGAGTAATAAATCCAAGTATATTGATGTACACCCATAGTAGCAACTTCTAAAAAGGCTGAAGCAGGAGAATCACTTGAGCCCAGGCAACATAGCTCACTATGTTCTCAAAAAAGAAGGTGCGGGGAGATAGGGGGAGGAGGAGGAGGAGAAAAGGAGAAGGAAAAAAAAGAAGAAGAAAATAATAGAAGTGACAGAATTTGATAAGGTCAATCAGAATAAAGAGACAAATGCGAGAGAAACTAGAGATTTAGAGAACAATGAAATAATATTTTAAGTATCGGTGTGATAGTATGTTTGAGGATTTAGATGGCATTTCTAGAAAAATATGTTAAAATTAGTATAAGAAGAAAAACACTTGAGTAGAAATGCTGATCGCATACCTATTTTTCCTGCATAAAAAGCCTCCAGAACCAAAGGAATTTATGAGTTTTACTAAACCTTCAAGGAACAAAATTTATATCTTACACAAATTGTAAGAAACATAAAAGGAGAGATTATCTCCTTACTCATTTTATGAAGTCAATTTAACACAATTCTAAAAGTGATAAAAAAAGTATAGTAAAACCGCTTCACTTAGAAACATATTAGAGAAAGTCCTATATGAATATGAGCTAGGAGAATCCTGCAGTATCTTCAGATGATGACAGATCCTGACAAAGGAGAGTTCAGTCCAGGAATATGAAGTTCAACATCAGAAAACCCACTGATGTAATTAACTGCATTAGGGGGTGAGAGAACTTAACATGGTCATCTCTATAGATGAAGACGGAGAACTTCATGTTTGTTTGTTTTTTTTTTTTTGGTTTTTGGTTTTTCTCCGGTACCGGGAACCGATCTCACGACCTTGCGCTTGCCAGGCAGGCGCTTTGCCGCTGAGCTAAATCCCCAGCCCGAGAACTTCATGTTTATAATCCTGTAATCTATAATTTTTACAAACCTCATGTTAACTTTTCTTTTTTAACATCTTTTTGAAACAGGGTCTCACTATGCAGTTCAGGCTGGACTTGAGCTCACTATGTAGCCCAAGATGGCCTCGAACTCACAATGATCCTCCTGCCTCAGTCTCCCGAGTGCTGAAATTACAGGCATACGCCACCACACCTGCTCAAGTTAACTTTTCAAGAGGGCCTTTCTTAGTAAAGATTGTAAGCTAGAAATATGCACCAAATTCGACACTTAAAGCAGAAATATAAATGTTTCTGTAAGATTAAGAACACATTTCACAGATGCTATAAAGAGCAAACTGTTTTGGTCAATATTCTCAAGATCTCCATACACATATTCTTAAAAATTAAATTTCATATTAGCATATAAAAGCAGGACAAGTAATGCTTGCAAATTTCTCCCTCAAAATTGTGCCAACCTGCTATCGAACATCACTGCTAAAGAGAGACCTGCCAATCACCCAGCCTCAAGCAAAGTGGCTGGCTGTCACCACTGTCAACTCTATCTGCCTCAGAAGGCAGTAAAAATTCCAGTACACCTCCTCCTTTTCATTAGGTGAGGAAAAACTTTTATTTATTTCTTTAAAAGTTGCATGTGTGTGCATGCATACATGCATGTGTGCACATGTGTGCATGTGTTGCTAAGAGACACCTGAAAAAGAAGAAATCTCCAGAGAAACAAATGTAGTAACATCTGAATGTGGGATAACTGGATTTCATACAGAGCAAAAGATCGTACAACATCTCTTAGATATTGGTGTCTAGGTCCCTTGGAGTCCTGAAATCTCTCCTCATTGCTTATTTTAATGAACTGAAAATTAGACCTAGCTCTTGGTTCTAGTAAGCATCTATTGCAATAGCAAGTTGTTGAGATGAAAGTGTTAAATCAGAGCATCTCCCTGGTGGGAGAGGTAGGTGTTACAGGTGATAGGAGAGAACTCAGCACAAGGAAGAGTGGAGAGGCAGGGCTGTCAATTCCAACTACAGCCCAATCCTTGGAGGAACATTTCATTACCGCAGATTTTTGAAGATACAGTCTGCTTTAGAATCACCTCTGATTCTCAAATCTTGATCAAGATTGCTGAGCCAAACTCTGAGCAGGGATCTGTTAAGAAGCTCGCCCACAGCTCTTATACCCAGTAACAGTGGAGAATTATTCTGTCAAGGGTCAGTGTCAGCTTGAAACTTCAGCTCATCTGTCTATCTAATGTTTCCCACTCTTCCCCAAAGGAAGCCCTTCCAATGTGAAAGGGTATTAAAGTCCCAGTCGACTCAATATTTACCATATGCCAGGGTCTATGCTAAGCAATAACTCAGGAGGTAGCAACACAAATTTTTTGGATGAAGAAGCAGAGACTAAGGGATTAGGTAACTTGCATAAAGTTGATCAAGGAGGAGTGGTGAAATCAGCACTCAGATGCAGCCTTCTTTGAATTCACAATCAGAGCCTTCCCTTCCAAGGCAGAGGTTTTCAGCCTTGAGTGGAAAGAGCCTCCAAATCCCTGCAAGGCTGGTTCAGACAGATGCCAGACCTAATTCAGGGGGTCTCAGGTGGGGCCTGAGGGTTCACATATCTAAGAGTTGCAAGTAATGTTGATGTTTTGAACCCAGGGACCACCACATTGAGAACAACCGCTGTAAACTAGAATCTTTCACTGTTCTTTTGTGTAAGCCCAGAGAATATAAGACCAGTTTAGTTCCAGCAGTCATATCTATGTTCAACCATGCTGAGGGCCGACACAAAATGAATTAAGCGACTACCTGCAGTGAATCTTAAGTTGCCCTAATTGTTAGCTTGTTAGCTAATTGTTAGCTTGAAGGTGCACACACCACTCCAGTCACAGAGCAGAAGACCCTTAAACTCACCTATCAGAGGGACATTTTCTGAGGCTGGCATAATCTCTGCCACCATTAGCTGAAAAACGGTCATGGCCAACAGGATGGTCACTCCCAGGGAGACCTTCTCCCCAGAGGCTGCTGGGAGATAAAAACTTAAGGGAGCTAGGAAAGATATGAGGACACAGGGAATGAGGAGGTTGACGATGTAGAACGAGGACCTCCTCTTCAGAAGGAGAGTGAAGGTCACATCTGGGTAAGGCTCGGAGCAACAGCCATAGGAGATCACATTCTTCACGGCAGGCATGCCATGGACCTCCCATTCCACATCCTCAATGAAGTCGGAGAGATCGCCACTGTCCAGGGCGTTGAATATGTCCACCTGATTGCCATTATAGGTCCAGGAGCCAAAGGTCAGGTTGCACTGCTGGTTATCAAAGGGGAAATAGGTGACGTCCACCACACAGGAGCTTTTGGTGATGGCCGGGGCATCCCACGTGATGAGCCCGTCGTAGCGCAGGACCACGTTGGTGTTCACCGGCTCTGAAGACTCGTCATCAGCCCTGGAGGTCAGAGGCGGACAGTGACAGCTGCTTGTTAGAAAAGCTCACGGACCCCTGCCCCACAAAGCGCACTGCCCTATGCCCATCGTGTCAGTGTCTTTGGCAGTGCGTCACAGTCCTCCCTGTCACTCCAGCTTGAGCACTTGGAAGCAGCTCTCCCTTGCCTTATCTCCTGTAGTGAGTCAGGCCCAGGTCCTCCTGCACTCTGCCTTGAAGTCATCTCTGCTCAAGTTCCTCCCCATCCAGTGCCACTCCCGTGGCCCAGGTCTAACAACTTGAACATCCAGACAAAAGGTAAACCTGCTGACATGAAAATTGCTTACCTGATTTTGTCCACCTAGGTAATCAGAAGATTTAAAATAGCCATTCATTTCTGTTATAAGAATTATGCGTGTGTATTTGGAACACTGGGAAAGCACAGAGAAAAAAAGCCATTCGTATGTAAGCCATTCTTACAAAAAAGCCATTCTCCAAGCCATTCTTAGAGATAACCGCTGCTTCTTGCTCGGAGGGAATATGGAAGCGTCCCCTGGTCACCCGGAGTGGAGCACAGACAGCAGGCTCGGCGCTGTGAGTCAAGAGGTTGTGAGCTGGGTACAGAAGGAGGCTAGAATCCAGGCTTCTACCGCCAGTGCTGCTTCCTTTAGGGAAATCCGTGCCCACTAGCAGGCTCCACCCAGGGGAGCCCTCGAGCTGCCCCTCATTTTCACTGTTCTGAGCCTCAGAGGAATCCGTCCCAACCCACAGAGACTTGGGATCCAGAATAAAGAGAGAGATGACCTCCCGCAGCAACAGGTGGAGAAACAGAGCTCAGATTGGGACAGAGAGAACTGGTTCCTTCTCAACAGGCAGCCCGAGGCCAGCAGGGCCTCCACCACTTGGAGCTTGTACAGATGCAGAGCCGTGGCCCACAGCAGACCTGCTGGCCCCGAATCTGTGTTTTAGTAAGATCCCCAGGTGACTTGTGTGTACTTCACAGTTCAGGACACATAATCCTCACCCACCCACCTACACAAGGACAAGGCCCCTCATTCCCTGAGAAGCAAAGGGCCAACTGGTCCTGTGGTCCCATTCAGCCTCCACCATCCCCAGAGACCAAACTCCAGGGCCCATCTCTGGACAGCCTGTTACCACTTAATTCTAGTAGCATCATCATTATTGCTGAATGAGCTTGGATAGTGAGCACCACGCTTATGGGTGGAATTGTAGCCCCAGAAAAGTTGTATTTTGAAGACCTTGCCTGCCAGCTTCTCAGAATGTGAATAGGGGCGGTGTAGGTCATTGCTGGAATTCAGGAGCACCTAAGCTAGTAGTGGTTGGTGTTCTCCTTATACAACAGGGAGACTGCACACAGAAAGTCCAGAGGGCGGACACTACGTGACGATAGAGACACAGATCAGGGTGACACTTTGAACAATTCAAGGAACAGTGGAAGCTACAAGAGAGGCAGAGAACAGGTTCCACCTCCTAGTAACCTCAGAAGGAATCTCTTCTGCTGACACTTTTCTGTTTTGTTTTTTTCAGTACTACAGATTGAACCTGGAGCCTTTGCATATCTCTAGCTCTGTTTTTATTTTTTATTTTGACACAAGTTCTAACTAACTTGCTAAACTTCTCAGGCTAGGCTCAAACTTGTCAACCTCCTCCTGCCTCAGCCTCCCAGAGTGCTGGGATTACAGATGAGCCCACCACACTCTCTGCCGACACTTTGACTCACACTTTAGCTTCAGAACTGTGAGGTGACAAACTTCGGTCCTTTGAGTCACCCTGTTATGCTACTCTATTATGGCAGTGCTACAAACTAGTGCAGCTTCTAGTCTCCCACTTGAAAAGAAAAAAAAAAGATGGTGTCCTTCAAACTCTAAGCTTTTATGACCTATTATTTTATTATCTGAGATCTCATGACCATTATTTCAGGGCCTAGGAACATGGATTAATACTTAAGTTCAGGTGTGTTCTACACATTTTTTTTTCTTTGTTTATATTCTATTAAGTCAGCAGCTTCCTCCCAGGATGTCTTAGCTCTGAGGTGCACTTACTTGTTGTACAGGACGATGTCCGGCCTCCACACCAGGTCGCTGGGAATCCTGATGGAGTCCAGCCCATCATACTGCTCCCGATCCCATGTGAGGTAGGCATCGTGCCAGATCTGGCGGATCCACAGGTAAGCGGTCAGAATCTGGTTTCTTTCGTCCTGCACAATGAATCAGATGTCACTCTCTCCAGAAGGCACTTGGGCCATCGCCTTCCATCTCCAGGACCCTGGTTCTCCACGACAGGAATCTCAAGAGCTCTCATCTATTTTCCATTAATAAGTGAGAGCTCTTTTATTCCATTCCCTTGATCAACTACTAAAGCCACATTTTTTTCCCTTCCTTGATTTAGTGTTTAGAAGGTAAAGTGAACAAATACTGAAGTCTTCAGATCTTTGCGTAGGTCAGCTGCTTAGTTTTCTCTGAAAATGGCTCAACTAATGACACTTGCATGAGGAAGTGAGGAAATATCTTCCGTGTTCAGATGAGAAGCCCCTCAAGTCTCAGAACTTTGTGTGATAAAACATATATATGCACTAAACAAGCTATTCCAACTTAAAATATTTTTCTTTCTTAAACTGAGACTGAATTCATACAACATAAATATTACCATTTTAACCATTTTGGAAGTGGACCATTCAGTGGTTTCCAATACATTCACCATCATCACCACTGTCTAATTCAAGAACATTTTCGTTGCCATGTTGTGTTTTTTTATCTAGATGTTCCCTTGTTAAAGTCTCATGGGACTGTAGTGGGACCCTCAGAAGAGGACTGGATTATGGGGGCTTACAGCTGACTCGCTATTAGGAAACAGGGCCTGGTTGGAAGAAGGGGTCACCTCCGGGGTGGCAGGAAGTTGCATCTCCCTTCCCAGCTCCTCCCTTGATCTTGTTTCCTGGCTGCCGGGGTGTGGGAGCTCCTCCTCCGCTATGCCGCCTGCCATGCAGCTCTGCATGCAGCCAGCTGACCACGGACTGTAACCGTGAGCCAAAGCAAACCTCCTCCCTTAAGTCATGGTGGCAGGCATTGCATGTCAGCAACAGAGAAAGTGACTGAGACAGCTCCCCAGAGGGAACCCTCGCCATTAAGGAGTCACGGCCCCTGTCCTGCTTCCTCCTCTGGCAACCACTACCCTGCCTTCTGCCTCAATGGACTGACCTGTTTTGGACATTTCCTGTAACTGGACCATACAGTATGTAACACCGCCTTGCTTTAGAGTATCTGAGACTACTATAGCGTCTGACCAGAACTAGAGGTCACTGTAACATTAGGGAACATTATGTAACACATAACGCGATTCTGTGGAAAGCGTCCTTCCCCTGGATTCCTTTTGCCCGCCAGCTTGTACACAGAGCTGCCTGCTTCACCCTTCTCAGGTTCCCGCTCAGGCTATCCCCTTCAGGAAGCATGCTTGTGTCATTCCAGGATTCTTTTCAAGAAGTCCCCACTCTGTTACTTACCATATCCTTAATCTGAGACAGTGTGATCTGCAGTGTGACATTCAGGACTTTATCTGTGTCTTCAACTGGACGAAGAGCATTGGAATAATCTTCAAAAAGGTCATTAAACAAGTTCTGAGCGTATTTTCCATTTGCCGTTTCTACAGCTACTCAAAAAGAGAGACACAGATCAATATTCGGAGGACTATATGTATTTCAAGCAAAGAACATCAGTTTGAGGTCAAGAATAGCAGATGGCCCAGCTAGACCAGGGACATGTTTTGGATGGGGGGGATGAGGCATTTTCCTGGCAGGTGCTATGCATGTCAGCAAGAATCAGGCCAATGTACGAGATCAGCTCTTCTGTCTTTTCTGGCCTGCCCCACTTCCCACCGAAGAAATGGTCCCACCCACCACCAACCTCTCACCTCTCAGTCTGGAAGCAGCAAAATAAATCCAGCAAAATGAGAGGCAGGCATAGGGCCAATTCATTTTTCTCCTGAGCCTCTAGGATGTCACAGCCAGGCAGCGTGGGCTTCTCTGTGAATGGGAAGGGTCCTGGTGCAACAGCCTGTGCTGCGCGGTCTCCCCTGGGCAGGTGGAGTAAACAGGCTTGCACTGTATGCAGGACACAGAGCCTGACATCCAGACCCAACTGCCTTCCCCTCCGTAATCTGAGACCAGCAGCTCCAATGACTGAGATGCCCAGCGCCGAAGGTATGTCAGACACTGATGCTCTGGGGGAGCCATGCCAGTGGAGGGTCCCTTGCCACCCTCCGCAGGAACATCCATCCAGACCAGAGAAGAGAAGGCAGGGGCAGGGTCAAGGGCATGCCTGACTCCACAGGGCACAGCCACCCAGAGAGGCTGGTCAATTTCCGGGAGTGTGTGAAATGGGGAGGAGAAACAGCTCCGTGGTCTCTAGAGTAGACTGGCATGTGGGTTTCTTCGCTGCCTCTGCTTCTGATCACTTCAGTTCTACTGGGCACCAATCTTGCCTAGAAAATGTGTGTGAGTATTCGTATGAAGGCGTGTATTGGATGGATTCCAAATGCATTCGTGGTGTTTCTACACCCTGAAGAAGCAGCAGCACTGGGAATGCATTTGGAACCCACCACCTGGGTTTGACTGCCAGCCCCAATCCTTACGAGGACCTTAATTCTGGACGATTTGCATTCCCAAGCTGCAGACAAGGGAAAGCAGTATTCCCTCGCCCCAGAGCAGCCAGTGCACTGGACGTGGAAACACAGTGTAAACTGGACTGTGATTATACATGTGCATTATTGATTATACATGTGCTATTGACTTTTGCCTCTGATCATCTTTGCAGATCTGAATTTCTATTTACCATGCCAATTGGGGTTTTCCAGCTCTTTAAAAAATGGTCCAAAGGCCAGCCAAATCAGCAGAATGATGCCTCGCCAGGGATATTATCAAGGATGCTGTCCCTTTGCATTTGAAGACTATGGTATATAACTTCAGAGTCATTTCTTGTATGTGATCTAATTTTGCTTGCACAGAAGAATGCCAATATCCAATTGCTAATGGAGTCTGGGAAGTCAAGCCTGTCCCTCCTCTTGCCTGGGGAAACTGCCTTGGATACCAAATTAACATCATGCGATTGCCTAGAATCAGAGTGAAGAAATTGGATAGCTCTGTCTCAGCGGGTTCCAGCCGTCCGATGAGTCACCCCATCCCTCCTGAGGAGCGTGTCCTCGGTGTGGAGCTGACACTTGAGCTGTCAGTTAAGTGGGTTTCTTAATTGCCTTTTCCCTCATGCCCAATATGAAGATGTTATTTTCCTCCCAGCCCGGTCTGACTCACTGCTCCGAGGGCCCAGACCCGGGCTTCCTTCAGCACACCAACCGCTCTGCAGTCTGTGAGGCTGAAAGTACTTGTGGAGCAGAGTTTATGCCTCCTTTTCTCATGAGGAAACTGAGGTCCAGCAGTGGGTGGTCAGTGACAGGGTCCAGGCCACCTGTCCCAACCCAGTGCGCACACCACACTAACATGCCTGTCCTCTTTGTGGTTTGTCAACACAGTGATGGGTGCCGGTGGGGTGACTTCCCTTCGGGCTGAGACTCTCTGCCTTGCCCTTCTGTGATTCCCCTAATGCTCAGAACAGCCCCTGGCATCGCAGCTCCACAAACACGTGCTGTTGGCTGCTGTGATTGCTGCTCCCGCGCGCCTCTGCAGCGGGCATCCGGCGGACTTCACTGCTTCATTCATCTGGCCACTGGCTCTGTTTTCTTTTTCTTTTCATTCCTCTTCTTTTCTTTTCTTTTTGGATAGAAAGAAATAAAATGTCCTTCTCTGTTTTTCCATGTGAATTTTATTTTTAAAATTAATTTTATTGGTACACTTCAGATTAATTTATTGGGACACATTCATCATAGGGAACTTGTACCTGTACATGATAGATTTTGATTTTCTTTTTTCCCCACTCCCCTCCTCTCTCTTCATCCCCTCCCTTCCCCTCCTTCTTTACAAAAGCTTTGTTTCTACTCTTTCCCTCTAGTCTCTTTTTCTACCTTTTCCCTCCCCGCTTGTTCCCCTTTCCATATGAACATTTTCTTCCTATTTCCCAGTATCTATCATCCATTTTGGTCCTTACTTGTGCTTTTGGTTTCTCACACAAGAGATACCCAGTCTGTGGTATTTTGTTATGCAGCCATAGCTGACAAATACATGGAGTGTGAGAGAGAGTGGACTCAAGGAGAATGATTGTCCAAAGTTTGAGCTGTTTAAGTCAAAGAAAAGTTTGAGAACTGGACTTCTCCTCCATGATGCTCAGAACCCTCGAGAGAGCCTGACCTGCAGGTTTCAGTAGGAAGAGTGTCCCAGTCCCAGGGACATCACTAACATCTCCAGAAGCTTGGTGGGAAAAGGGTGAGACATGGCCATGCACAGTTACAGAAGGAGGACTCGCACCCATGCCAGCAGAGGCAGTCCTGCTTGCCCATAGCATATTGAGACATGGCGCACACTCTTCCTGCTTTCCCTGGAGATTCTCCTTCCTTACTTCTTGAATCTCTTTTGTTCTTCTCTAACTTCCATTTCCCTAAGCCAGATGATTTGGGTACAGATGGGGAAATGGGTCACAATCCTAGGACAGAACGGGGCTCCTGGACTCTACCCAGTACTCTTAGAGAAGCTGCTCCAGCCGCAACCTCTGGCCCCGTGGTCTGCGTCAGGGGACGGAGGGAGACTCGGTGCACTTTGAAAACTGCCCTGCTCGCCACAGCTACCTGCCCCCGGCTGGCTGTGGTCACATTGCTGTCACCACCGCCTGCACTGCCCATCTTTGCAGACTCTAAATCCTTGCCCACAACACGTTAACGGCCGCCCTGTGAGAGCAGAAGACCTGTCTAGCCTCCAGACCCCAAGGAGGGCCTCTGTGTGCCTTCCAGTGCCCTGTATTTCTGACTTTCCACCTGAAAGGCTCTTTCTAGGCACGAAGGCCTGTGTGGAAGACAGTGAGTTTCCTGAGCTTGGCCGCCATGCTTCTGCCCTGGCGCTGACCCCATTGCAATTGGCCAGTGCCTGGCTAAGTGGATGTAGGGATCTGGTGACCTCCATTAGGTGTCAGGGAGCTAAGACCTGCTACCTATTTTTGTAAATAAAGTTTTATTGGATCACAACCATGTGCATTCATTTTGCCCATGGCATCTCTCCAAACTGCTCACACCATGCCCCTTGCTAAGTTGCACAAGCCCAGCAAACCCGCACTTGTGGAGACCCATTCCGTAGCCACAGAAAGAGCCAAGTTCATGTTTCTGGGTCAAGAGAACAGCTGATACCTGAGCCAGGGGATCTGATAGACAGGGAAGGTAGCAGACTCTGATGTCCCTGCTTTGCCCCTCCCCACACTTGCTCCCAGAAGTGGAAGTCCCCTAAGGGGATGTATTGACTGTCCTGAGCTTCACCCCACTGAGGTCTGCACTGCCGCTGCCCTGCTGCTGAGGATCCCTCCTCCCTGGGAACTCTCCGGTCTCCCACCAGGCCACGAGGGTTCTTGAGTTTCTGATCCTCTCTCGCACCGGTGCAGTGTGTTCGCACCCCACCGGCTCCACTTCCTCTTCTCATAGCACCCATGCGGTCACAGTTGCACAACAGCTTCCCACCGCCGGCCATCACCATCTCCTGACCACGGTGTAGGAGGTGAGCAAGCGAGAAGCCGGAGGAGGTGAGGGAGACTCTCTTCTCTTGTCCTCAGTCGCTCCTGTTTCACAGTTGCTAATTCTCACAAAGAGAAATGAGGACACAAGGAGGCAGCGCCAGGCAAACCAAACCACCCCCTTTCTGGGGATGGTTCCAGCTGTGTGGGCCCCGGGGTCCCGACCCCGCTCGCCCCACCCGACTGCCTGTGCTGGGGAGTGGGAGCTAGGGGACGTGTTAGCGTGGAAAGCAGAGGCAGAGCAGCTTTCGCACCGCAGCAGCGCTCCTCTTCCCTGCCCGCCTGCCCAGGGCCGCATCGTAGGGCTCAGGCCGCTTAGCTGTGACAGTTCCTCAGGAGGGACAGGCGCCTCTGTGTGCTTTTCAAGGCTATAAGAGAATCGCTGACACTGGGTTACTTATAAAGGACAGAGATTTATTTCTCACAGCTGCAGAGGCTGGGGAGTCCAAGAGCACCTGCCAGCCTCGGGAGAGGTCTTCACACTGCGTCCTAACCCGGAGGGCACATCCTGCAGTGACGCAGAGAAGGTGTCTGCCTGGTCTCTCATGGCTTCCCCATGACCTCTTCTCACCCCAAGTCTCTCCCAAGGTCCCACTTGCAAACACCATCAATGTATGCCTTTGGGGATGAAGTCTCCAGAGCATGACCTCTTGGGGAACATATTCTGGCCATAGCAAGTGACTTAGCTGCCCGCTCCTGAGACGTGCATATGGGAGGAAGGAGGACAAACATGTGCCCTTGGCAAAGGAATCAATTCTGAAAAATAAAGCAGTGCCGGGGGTGGTGGCGCACTCCTGTAATCCCAGCACTCAGGAGGCTGAGACAGGAGGATTGTTGCGAGTTTGAGACCAGCCTGGGCCACAAAGTGAGCTCAAGGCCAGCCTGAACTACATAGCGAGACCTTGTCTCAAAAAAACAAAAAAAAAAAAAGAAAGAAAAGAAAAATAAAGCAGAAGATCAGGAAGATTTGATTGAGTCTTTCCCTCTGGGCTGCTTTTTAATAAACGTCCCATTCTCCATGTCTTCTTCCCTATCATAGCCACTGGCCTGGGCTCCATGGGCCCTGATGTGAATGAGAGGAGTCCAGAAAAGCCACACAAGGGAAAGCAGGAGAGGAGGGGGCCACAGAGACCTACACCCACTGACGGGGAGGAGCCGGGCCAGAGGCTGAGCCACACAGCCGTTAATTCTCTTCAAGACCTATGGGGATGCCAGATCAGATCTTGACATCAGCAACACTAATCCTGTAATTACAGTATCCATGCTTTTGTTTATAATGAAATTCTTGTATTAATTTTGACTTTCAAAATTATTGCATTAAACTGAGCATGGAGGCACATATCTGCAGTCCCAGCTATTCAGAAGGCTGAGGCAGGAAGATGACTTGAGCCCATGAGTTCAAAACTGACCTGAGTGACATGTCAAGCTCATTTTGGTGTCAAAAACCAAAATGAAAAAGAAGAAGAATTTTCCATTAAAACTTTGTCTATATTGATGACTGAGATTTTGGCCATATCCTTAAATTTCCGTTAAAGGCACATGCCTTTCTCGACTCTCCTTAGTCCTGGCCCTGATCAGAAATGGCGCCACACCAGAGCGAGTTAACTCTCCTGATTAATGATTTGTTTTCAGAAAAGAAGACGGGAAGCTCTAAAAATTAACTAAAAGAATCAAAGCCTACATTTTTTAAAAAAATATAACTTCAATCATGCTAAAAGAATTAGAAGAAAAATGAAATTCTCAATCACAAAAATAAACCTATTCTAACACAATTCCAGTCCTCTAAAAAAAAGCCAGGGCACTTCGCCATGCTGGCCAGCAGGTGTCTCTCTAAACTCCCTGTACGTCCAACACAGGCCTCTGGAATCAACGTCACACTGAAATTTGCTATTTTTAACCAGCTCTAAAGAGACAGCACTGGAAAATCAGCTTGAAATTTTAACAGCCACAGATACCAAATCCTCAGCAATCCATCCAGTTATCTTGTATTTTCCACGAACAGCCAGTGATAATAAAACCTATGAACTATTTAAGCTAAGAAATAGAGTGTCAGTTCGTCGTACCCTATTTACTTTCTAGAATCCTGCTGCTTCCTTCTTTCCTCATCCCTCAGCCGGAGCAGTTTCTGCCGGAGCACAGTTCTGCAAGACCAGAAAAGAGTATTCCAGGAGGAGCTCAGAGGCGCTAATGACCCCATCCCCTGGCTTGGAGGATTGGATGTCATCTACTCCTTTA